TAGAAATGACATGGTAGAATTCTGTATTATGAAAATCCAGGGACTAGTACAAAACCAAAAATGCGACACCTTGAACTGCCTGTAGGTGGCGCTGTTGCACTCACAGTTGTGTGTTGTATATCGTTGTGTTCAGGGTCATACGCTGTATTTCTGAATTCATTTTTAGCCTCATCTGACAAACATTTTGCCCCAAAAAGCTCATTCATTAACTTTCCAGCGCCCCCAGTGGTCAGGTGTAGGACTTACAACTTATGCGTAATGTAATGTTTTGCTCGTCTCGGTCCAGAGAATACACTCAGCGATTTTCGGGCCGATCCGAGCACTAGTGCCCTATTACTTTCCGACAGGTGGCGCTAAAGAGCTCAAATTGGGCGAATGATTTTAGTGTCATTGCGTTCAGGCCATAACCTAATATTACTGATGTGAGTCTCAGCTCTGTAGGTCTGAGCCTGTGGCCCTCAGGGCTCAGCGAAAATGGCCAAAACGAAGGCCTTATTCGCCATGGCGAGGGACGAAAACGGTGAAGATTTTCTAACTTTTGTTTGATAATTATATAACTTCAATCCATCCAGATTAGGAAATGACGTGGTAGAGCTCTGTCTGATGAAAAACCAGGGACTAGTTCGAAGTTTAAAATGAAAAGTCAAATTGGAGGCAAAATTTCGGCCCATCGTGGCCGACTTCCTGTTGGTCCCAGACATGTGCTTAGACCGGCTTTTATGCTCGTCTCATAGAGATCTATCACTCATCCGAATTTCGTGTACTTACTCCAAAATATGCAATCCTGCCTCCAATAGAAATGGCAAATTTTGAATTTTCAAGGGGGCGCTATTGATTCGCCTTTTGTCGGACAATCTCGAAACGTCCGTTTTATCAAATGTTTCAAATGTTTCAACCATGTGCAGACTTTCGTGCAGACTTTTGTGCATGTCTTCAGGGTCAAAAATCGAATTGTTTCGGCGGAAAAATAATAATAATATGAAACCGGTGAATAACAATAGGCCTCCCCAATACTTCGTATTGGCTCGGCCTAATGAATGTCTGCTTGTCCCAAAATGCCAAAGCAGGGAGCTGGGCACAAAAAATGTTATGGCATGGGCGTTGGAGTGTGTGGTGGTGGTGGTGGTGTAATAATATCTTTAACTTGTAATGTACTTTTCAATCCTGTGTTGACAAGTTTCTCAAAACCACACACTGTAGTCTTTATTCATTTATTCCACACAGTGTGTCACAGCTGGGTTGGAGGATGCCAGGCTACTAATCTGTGCTATTGGCCACCACCAAGCAGTCTCTCACTATGTCCACACATGTGGGTGAAGTGCATTGCTCAAGAACATACCAGACTGCACTTAGGGCAGCCAGGATTTGAGCCACCAACCATAGGCCCCTTTTATAAATGAATGTACACATTAGACATAAGCACTGGCATTATTTGACTCCTAACTTAACTTTTGTCCGGAGCCGCTTCAAATCCCTATTGATTGTCTGAAGTAGTCTGAAGTAATGGCAGCTTTTGTAGGCAAATTTACGACTTTGATATTTACAAAATTCGTCCATTTTTCCCCAATAAATAATGATGACAAGATCCATGCTCATACCCCTTTAAGAAACGTGGAGTGGGCGTGTCGTGGAGTGGGCGTGTCGAGTAGTAGGCGTGTCGGGTACCCGACACGCCTACTACTCGACACGCCTCCGTACTGCAGGCCGCAGACAGATACACTTGGGACCTGAGGTGGATTTGGACAGCAGCTGCCTTCGTTGCCTGGCAACCCAAGACTCAGCGGAGCGGAGAGAAAGGACAGCGCCGCCATGATGGAAGGTGAAAAGTTTGAAATACGCTTTGATTAGGGTATAATAGTTAATTGTAATAACATTCTTCTTCTTCCGCCTCCGTCGAGCAAAGACGTGTCTCAGACGCTCCTGCTTCTGACTGCTTGCTATCTCCTGTTTTTGTCTTTTTCCTGGAGTTTTGCCACAGACAACTTTAACAAGAATGGAAATGATTAACTGGTCCCTCAACGCAATTGATTCTATCTTTTCAACACGGGTCTGGAGAGCCCGTGTGCCCGGACGGGACCTCACCAGCGGGCAGGCCCGTCGGAAGGGCTGTGCGACCTGTGCCGTCGCACAGGGCCTCGCAATCTTCATTCCTTTTTTTATTTTTATAAATACAATAGTTCAAGGGTCCCCAAAGGGCAGACTGCGCTCCAAGTTTGGACCCCTAAACCAATTTCTCTGGACTTCTTTGATTTTGTTTAATCAAAAGACAATTTTTACAAGTAAAGTCAAATTTTCACCAAAAGCGATTTGTAAACAGGCAGGCGCGCGGGCAGCTATGTATGCAGCGGGTCCTCCGAAAAAACTTTACGGAGCTGTCAGATAACTTTAGCAGTGTCTGAGTGAGATACGAAGAAAGAACCGGGAATGATCGCAGTGTAGGAGAGATGGATACTCGCGGAGGAGGAGCAGCGAGACAGGTGTGAGCAGAGGAGCAGACCCTTTTGTGTGAGCAGAGGAGGAGGAGGAGGAGCAGCGGTGTGACAGGTGTGTGAGCGCTGCTATTGCCAATGTTTAGTCCGAATATCCACATCAAAAACATATTTTTAAAAGCATTAGCAAACACACTGTATGTCTAGCTTTAGCGGCCACTGCGAGTGGAGTGGATTTTGGGCATAAAACGCCTTGTTATGGTCAGAGTGTGTGGAGGAGGAGGTGAAGAGTATGTTGTTGTGGTCAGTGTGGAGGAGGAGGAGAAGGAGCGTATGTTGTCAGAGTGTGTGGATGCATGGCAAAAACGTTATTTGCCATGCATCCGGAGTCACTATAAATAACGGAGTCAATATAAATATATATATTGACTCCGCCTCATAGCCATTTTGGCGCATTTTGCCGAAATCTAACTATTAGAAGAAAAAGACTTTTGAGTTGCTCTGCCATTTTGCCACAGGACGAAAGAGCCATGTCAGCTAAAAAGACCGCGACCAATATCGCAATGCCAAGTGCCATAGTGTTTGTGTGTGCGTGTGTGCGTGCCCGCGCCCAACGCTGCATAGGAGCGAAGACACTCGGCTACGCGCGTGCTGATCTCTTCACGCACCGCGCGAGGTGGTGCTGAATTCATGTCAAAGATTATAACAGGAAAACATTTCCTCAGATCTGGGAAAAAAGTGTCAGGGCAGGGCCTCGCGTTTCGAGTTCGCACTGGGCCTCGCACCCCCCTTGTGACGGGCCTGCCAGCGGGGTATACTCTTGACAGCTGGAACAAGTTTCAGCCCCTCTGTCTGTCGACCCTGTCCATTGAAGATTCGGAAGACGTATATATCTTTGGCATTTTGGTGGTGGGAATCCTCCTGTTTGGGTTCGGAGCGGTTCTCTTCTATCGCAAATTCGGAGGCATGGCAGTTCGCAAGATTCACGACCTGCTGGCCGACAAAATTGATGGGATGTACAAGGAGCTTAGCCGAGTCATGGTTGAGAGTGCCGTGTCTGGACAAAGGAGAGTGGTTTTGGTGGAACAGTTGATAAAAGACCTCGCAGCTCGTTCACTCGATGGGAATAAAACTCTGGAGTTGAGATTGAATGACATCGTGTGTCAGGCTTGAACTCTCTGACCCGGCTTGGATTTGCCCCTGTGTACGGGGTCTGAGGGCGCCGCAATTCGGATTAATTGGATTTAATAGAATATCTGCCTGCTTTTGACTGCTACATTGCATAAATATTGTCCCCCTGAGGCGATGTGTTTTTCTCCTGCTGTGTCTTCTCTCCACTCTTATCTCACATTCCTCGGCCAAGGCCATAATAACAAGGTCCCATCTACAACAATCTCACACTTCAGTCTCCAGCTCGGATCCCGCTCCCCCGCCTCCCTCTCTATCTATCTTGCTCCCTCCCTCCCCTCCACTCCTCATTGTGTTTCCGACTCACCCCCTCCCTGACCCCGCCCCCCTCTGACAGCCACATCGGGCCGGCAGTCGGAGGTGCTCATCCCGAGAAAAAAATCCGTGGTTTATACAAAGCACAATGTGTCTATCCAACTGTCTGTGAAACTGTATGTTATTGCTCTCTGCTGTTTATTCTACTGTTTGTCGCATGGCGCCGTAAAGATGGCGCCGTGGCAAGAGCTCTGGTGTGTGTCGTCTCTGTCTGGCGCACACCGGGGTAGTCTTGCACAGTTTTTCCAATGTGGTTTTACTGCAAATGGCAAATAAATGAATCTGAATCTGAATCTGATTTGAGGCGAGAAATACCCCCCTCTATTGTCATATCACAGGTCTGTTTGGTGATAAAATAGATTTTTTTTTCGGACTTATCCACTAGCTAACAGCGGGGGTGGGCGGCGCCGATGCCCAGACAAGACTCCTAAACGCGTGGACTCATTTTGACAAGCTCCCCTGATGCTAGTAGTCAAATATGAAAACAAGACAACCCTAAGTGAAGGCAATGAGGGATTTTCTTATAAATCATCGTTATAATAAATGGTATAATTACTAGTTCCATTATATATATATGCATTATGTAGATTTAGCACTTTTTTAATGTAATCAATATATTTGTATGGCCCTTGCTCATCTGTTTTGTGTATATAAGTAAGTTGCATTATATTTGTTGAAACATGTTTTTTGAAAACAGATTAATAACTTGGATTTGTGTATATTACAATTGTCTGAAGTCAAAAGCTAACTTATTGTTAGTATAAGGACTGCTGATACGTGTACTTTGTAAACAAAAATTACATACACATTCTGCCCTGATGTCTAATTATTATAGCAGTTAACAACCACAACTACTGCAGGAGGATAAGACAAAATATTGTATTTGTTGTCATTAATTTGTTTCTACTCTTTTTTTATGTAATTACAGAATGAAGAGTCTGATCGTTGCCAGGATTGATTCCATCTGCTCATGATTTAATAAAGAACTTCTCATTTGAGACTCACTACACCCTTGAGTTACTTTTATGGGCTTTTTCGAAATGTAAATCAAACAAAAATAGTTGATTTTTATTTGTTTTTATTTTCAATCAGCTTCTCGAGGAGGCCAAACAGCCTGTCAAAATTGGCACTCCTCTCCTGTGCCCGCCGCTCATCCTCCTCCCTCTGCATCCTCAGATCCTCCCTGTACAGCTTCACCAGCTCGCTCTCCCTCTTCCTCTTCCTTCCCGTTCCTCTCTGCTGCTCCGACTCTGGCTCTTCCTCCTCCTGCTCCGGCTCCTGCTCTCTGGCCTGGCTTGGCCCTGGTCTGGCATCAGGGATGGAGGCGATTAGGACAGGAGGGTTGATGGACGGCTTCTGCCCCGACACTTCATCCATGAGGCCAAACCGAGGCCAGGTCCCAGCAGTGGGGTTCCCCTCCACGCCCTGGCCTGTTCCAGGGCATTTACAGTCCTTTAACACAAGAAATATATGTGGAGTCATGATGGGCTCATGTCGGCACAGGCAGACACACACACACACACACACACATGCAGACACACTCACACACAGGCAGACACACTCACACACACGCAGACACACTCACACACAGGCAGACACACTCACACACACGCAGACACACTCACACACACGCAGACACACTCACACACACGCAGACACACTCACACACACGCAGACACACGTGACAAACTCACAAAAACAAGATTGATTTTCATACTTTATACTTTTTTTTCAAATTGTCCCACTTCTTACGGGCCTGCAGGGGCGTGACCACCTCCTGCAGGGGCGTGACCACCTCCTGCAGGGGCGTGACCACCTCCTGCAGGGGCGTGACCACCTCCTGCAGGGGCGTGACCACCTCCTGCAGGGGCGTGACCACCTCCTGCAGGGGCGTGACCCTCCTGCAGGGGCGTGACCACCTCCTGCAGGGGCGTGACCACCTCCTGCAGGGCGTGACCACCTCCTGCAGGGCGTGACCACCTCCTGCAGGGGCGTGACCACCTCCTGCAGGGGCGTGACCACCTCCTGCAGGGGCGTGACCACCTCCTGCGGGTCAAGCTTTTCCAGGATAGTCCTATAGAAAAGACAGAAACAATAAAATAAAGAAACAGAAAAACTTACTTTATGTGTTAGAGAATTCCTGAAATTATTGATCATGTTAATGCAGAAAACAATAGTTATACGTTTCTCATTTTTGTTCTTTTGTTATGATTGATATACTCTTCTACAACTTAATTATAGATTTTTAATAATGATGACTGTTGTATTTGAGAATAGCACCAGCTTGTCTAAACCCTTGTATACCCATGTATATATTAAGTATTAAACTCACATTAAGAACACAATATGCAGTCCTAAAGTCAATTCCAGATAACTTCAATTAATCATAAGCTAAACAGTGACATTTCTCAAACAGCTCGTACCTCCAGGCCGTGCTGGCGGAGAACTTCGCCCCAGTGAAGAGGACGTCGTTCTCCGCCCGCACCCTTATGAAGGTCTCCGTCATCTCCTTCGTCCCTATGAACAAAATAAAACGTTAAAACTACATAAAGGAATAAAATATAACTAATTGTGACAATACTAATTTAGTTACAGTTACAACTAAGCTATCATATGCCACAGAAGAAAACACTCTAAAACAAATGAAATAGCGCACTTCGTCGCTTAAAATTCAAATAATATTTCTTTATAAGTGTTATTAGTCATGTAAGAATATTATAATATGAAATATACTTACATTTATACACTACAGTGGGGACAGGGGTAGCTGCTTCTGGTGCCTCCATACTGAAAATAAAACCCTGCGAATCGAACCCCGCGAACTCAACGCGGGGAAGGCAGCGAAGCATACATCAGATGCATCCTTCATATCTGCTCCAAAAGTGGCCGTTTCCATGGAGACGAAGTCACGATGCCTACGCTGGCGAGCTCGCCAAGTGGTTTTGGACACCCCTGCAATAGCCGTCGCTTGAGGAAGTGACGTCACGAGCCTACATATCCACCCTACGCGGCCCGATGCCTAGCGTTTTGGACACAGCCCTAGAGTGCGCTGATTCTGACTGCTGTCACTCACCTCCTGGAGGTGGGGTTTTGACGTCACGATGTGGTGCATGTCCTGATTTGAATCAGGTCGTTTTGCTGCCTCTCAAAAATGATAAAGAAAGATCACTCTCTAACTAAAGCTTGAATGAATCAATGTAAAAACTACTCTGTGCATGTGTATAAGGCCAAATAGCACTGTAATCATGTTTAAACCAGAGAAAAGTCAAAAAGTATTTTATTAAGATACAGTCCTCAGACCTTCTCCAGACTGACCCTGGGATGGGCATCAGTGAGATTCACCTGTAAGGAGGCTCCGTAGGTGAAGAGCAGCAGACTGCGCTCCATGGCCCCGTTCCCCAACAGCTCCATGGTCCTCTGCAGGGCCTGGCTCTGCTCAGAGGACATCCGGTCCACCTTCAGCACCACCAGGAACACCACAGAGTCTGGCTGGAGGAGATACTGGGCGCACAGAGGCTGGATCAGATCTAGGGCCCCGGGGTTCAGGATCCCAGGCGTGTCCACCACAGAGACCTGTCGTCCACACACCTCCTCGGTGCCCTCTTCGATGCGGGTCGTCACAGGTCTCAGAGACGGGCGAGACGCAAACACTCTCCGTCTTAAGATTGTGTTCCCCACCGAGCTCTTCCCCACCGCACTTCCTCCAAGGAGAACAAGAGACAGCATCCTGGACCTCCTGCAACGGAAACAGGTCTCTGAGGACAGGTCTCTGAGGACAGGTCTCTGAGGACAGGTCTCTGAGGACAGGTCTCTGAGGACAGGTCTCTGAGGCCAGGTCTCTGAGGACAGGTCTCTGAGGACAGGTCTCTGAGGACAGGTCTCTGAGGACAGGTCTATGAGGCCAGGTCTCTGAGGACAGGTCTCTGAAGACAGGTCTCTGAGGCCAGGTCTCTGAGCCAGGTCTTTGAAGACAAGTCTCTGAGGACAGGTCTCTGAGGACAGGTCTCTGAGGACAGGTCTCTGAGGCCAGGTCTCTGAGGACAGGTCTCTGAGGACAGGTCTCTGAGGACAGGTCTCTGAGGACAGGTCTCTGAGGACAGGTCTCTGAGGCCAGGTCTCTGAGGACAGGTCTCTGAGGCCAGGTCTCTGAGCCAGGTCTTTGAAGACAAGTCTCTGAGGACAGGTCTCTGAGGACAGGTCTCTGAGGACAGGTCTCTGAAGACAGGTCTCTGAGGACAGGTCTCTGAGGACAGGTCTCTGAGGACAGGTCTCTGAGGACAGGCCCCAGACTCTATGTCGTTGTCCGTAAGTTACACAGTAAGTTAGTCATCTTTAACTATTTTGTTCTGGGCACTTCTCTTACTCCACACAGAGATGGGTCTCCTCTCGCCATAGGAGGTGTGGTGTGCGGTTCAGAACTATTGTATTTGTTTTTAGCGGTGAGGGAAATCGGAGCACCCGGAGGAAACCTATGCAGACACAGGAAAACAAGTCCACACAAAAAGATCTGGAGGTGGAGTAAAAACAAGGACCAACCACTGCGCCACCGTGCCTCCCTTCTGTGTCTAATATTCAGTATGTTTAATTAAGAATGTCTGTTATTGTATCTTTTACTGGAACATGATGATGAGGAAACCAGCTGAAAGTACACAGCAAAACTGGAGTGTTAAAATACTGATTTACTTTACGTCAAGTTTATTCAGAGATAATCATGAGGAACATGTAACATTGTAACGTTTTTAACGTAAGTCAAAATTATGTGCAAGTACACGCACATGATTTTGACTTACTTTAAATCTGAAAGATCGGAAAGATGGAAACTCGACTTTGTAGATGGTGATTATCAAAAGTGAAATCGAAACATTCCAATCATGTGTCAGTAACGTGTGAAGACCTGCAGAGAGTCTGCATGAGTTTATACCTCACTCACTCCTGTGTCCTCACCCTGGGCTTGAATATTATGCAGTTAAATAAGTTACAGTATTTTGAAGAATGTTTAAATCTAAATGGAAGTTGAGAGTCCATTTTTTTCTAAGTAGAGTTTACAGTAGAGCAGTCTGAGGTCAAACCACTCTTTGTACAAAAGCTCATTTCCTGCCGAGTCAAAAGCATGAACATAATATAAAGAAACTGTTTAGAGCTAAAAGCAGAGTGAAAGGCTCAAAAGTCTTACCGTGTCAGATCTGCTTCAGTCCTGGTTAGATCTGGTCCTGGTTCAGACCTCTGCACATTTATGGTTTCATACTTTTAGTTTCATATCTTCAAAGATATGAAGCCCCACCCAGTATGCAAGTTTGACCTAGAACTAAACTATAAGTTTCAACCATGACTGAACCAGGTTAGAACCAGTTCTGAACCAGGACAGGACCAGGTCTGAACAGACGCTTCACAGTCCAATTACTGGTAACATAATCTTGCCCATTCCTGCGACACAGTCCCGTTATATGTTATAGCTATTAATTAGCTAAATGTTTTTTTTTGGAAAAACATCCCCCCGCTTTGGGAAACCACTGGTCTATGATACAGGACCGTATAAATGTGTTTTTAAATACTTATAATGTAATATGTTTTGTAAGTTCGTGTCCTGCACAGATCGTGGGTCATACAGTAATTACGTGTGCTGAAATTAACACGGAATATAGCGGAATAATAATAATAATGAAAATAGACGTTGCATCGGGTCACGTGTCCGGAAGCAGCTTGTGTTGTGGCTAACGCTAGCGGCTAACAGCAGCAGCAGGTCAGTCTCACTTCTTTTGCCTGTTTTTATGATCTCTCACGGTTTATTCTCTTCTCAAACTGTTCGCACCTAAACAACGGTCGTTCCAGACTCAGAACCCCGCCATGACAGCAGCTTTCCCCCGCCAGAGTGGGTTTGAAGAGCCGGTCTAGCTGTTAGCATGGAGCTAGCTTCAGGTGGCACTGTCCATCAGATTGAAGCATGTAGCTGTTAGCATGAGGCTAGTTTCAGGTGTCATATTCTATATTCTAGATATTCTGACAAAGATTACAGGTAGTGATGTCAGACTATGATTCCCTGTTCCCATACTGGTGAGTAGAATGAAAACCAAGTAGATTTTTTGGCAGATTAAGGCCTCATTCCCAAACATATATCATGACACTTCCTTACACTCTGAGCCTGAGTCTAGTGTGTTGAAAATTGAACTCGCTTTTCGACGTAGCATCAAAAAAATCACTTAAATATTTTCTAGTTTACATGTGGCTCAGAGGAAGATGATTCTAAAACTACAAAGTCACACCAGGGACAAAACTGTCATGACTGTGTAATGAGCCTTGGAGCCATGTTTGGGCTCTGGCCTCAGAGTTTGGGCTGATGCAAAGTTGTCCTAGTGAAAAATATATTGCAGTGTCTGTATTGCCCCATGTGGATGAGAAACTTGTTCATTATATTGTGATTCTGTCTGGTCTCTCTGTGGTCGCTCTGACTCTGGACTCTCTCTGATCTCTTTCAAGCCACACATTGAGCTTTCTAGGGCTTTTGACTAGCTATTGTGTTGACAGTTAGTTCACTTAAAGATAAAATATTTTCTTTTTCAGCAAAGATGGAGGAGCAGAAAAACGAGATGGAAGAAGAGGATTTTTTTGACTGCGAGGAAACTTTGGAAGTTTTACAGAAACTGAAACTGAGCACAAAAGAGGAGAGGAGAGAGGAGAGGAGGGAGGAGGAGCCCCAAACACTGATCAGTCACAGACTCAAACCCAGCCTGCAAGAGGAAGGAAATGACTTGAGGCCCACCGGAGGAGACGAGGGAAGGACACCGGAACATACAGTGGGGGCAAGGCCTTTGAATAATTTGGAGGAGGGGGAGGGGCCAGTGGAGGAAGAGGCGGAGTTTCCCTCAGAGCCTGTACAGGTCGATGAAGAATATCTGCTGGAGCTCGAGAAAGAGCTGAGTGATGAGGAGCGAGAGGTGAGACTACAAGACCCACAATGCACCTGTGACATGATGTAATGTGAGGTCTACAGGTGTTACCTGAGGTCTGTAACACAGGTGTAATGTGAGGTCTGTAACACAAGTGTAATATGAGGTCTTTAACACAGGTGTATGTGAGGTCTGTAACACAGGTGTAATGTGAGGTCAGTGACACAGGTGTAATGTGAGGACTGTACAGTGTTTCCCACAGGTTTGAAGGCAATGTGTGGTGGTCGTCGGCGGGGGGGGGGGGGGGGGGGGGGGGGGGGTAGGGTACAGTGGTAGAGGACAATCTTGAGGTCATGAATCCAGTGAAATTAGTCGCACACCTTTTTACAGTAATAAGTTACAGCAGATCAAAAGTGACATGTTTTGACAATTTTTAGGCTATTTTGGACCAAAATGGCTGCTTTAAATCAATATTTCTACAGTAAAAGTTTCTGGTCTTTGGTACAGTGGTAGAGGGCAATCATGAGGTCGTGAATCCAGTGAAATTAGTCGCACACCTTTTTACAGTGAAAAGTTACAGCAGATCAAAAGTGACATGTTTTGACAATTTTTAGGCTATTTTGGACCAAAATGGCTACTTTACCTCAATATTTCTCAATATTTCTACAGTAAAAGTGTCTGGTCTTTGATACAGTGGTAGAAGGCAATGTTGAGGTCATGAATCCAGTGAAATCAGTTGCACACCTTTTTACAGTGAAAAGTTACAGTAGATCAAATGTGACATGTTTTGACCATTTTTAGGCTATTTTGGACCAAAATGGCTACTTTAAATCAATATTTCTCAATATTTCTACAGTAAAAGTGTCTGGTCTTTGGTACAGTGGTAGAGGACAATCTTGAGGTCATGAATCCAGTGAAATTAGTCGCACACCTTTTTACAGTAAAAAGTTACAGTAGATCAAAAGTGACATGTTTTGACTATTTTGGAGGTATTTTGGACCAAAATGGCTACTTTACCTCAATATTTCTCAATATTTCTACAGTAAAAGTTTCTGGTCTTTGGTACAGTGGCAGAGGGCAATAATAAGGTCATGAGTCAAGTGAAATTAGTCGCACACCTTATTCCAGTAAATAGTTACAATACTTGAAAATTGCACTAGCGGACCAAATTGTGTACTTTATACATGTAAACAATAGAGTGGCTATCCTCCTGAGGACTCACAATCTGCCGGAGGAATCGTAGGGGGCTGGTGCTATGTGTGCCGGGTGGCATCTCTATAAGGTTTTAATCACAAAAACGTGTCTCCCTGACCCCAGCGCGCTTTCTGTTCGATAAAAATGGGTGACTCCGAAAGGACGTTCCGCTGTTACCGTAAGTTCTCAACAAAACGCGCACCGTCTTTTCCCCGATGCGGGCCGCATGTTCATAGAGCTGAAAGATGCGGGCCACTTTACCGCGGTAAATTAATAGACACAGCTGCTTACAGCGATGATCGCTGATGGAGACGGAGACACGCGGTGTGCACGAAGGGGAGGGGCTGTGTGTGTGTAGGTCTCTGTATGTGGGAGAGACGCGTAGCTTGAGTGAGAGTTACGAAGGGCCGCCACATTTTAAACCCCCCTCCCCGCTGTCAAATTGACCGCTGCGGCAGCACTAGACGATGCATGTTTTAAATAGCGTAACAAAAAAAATATATATATAATAATACAAAACGCAATTTGTGGCGGGCGGTCTCTAATCTGTGGCGGTGCGCCACAGATTAGTCTATGTGTGGGAAACACTGCTGTAACACAGGTGTAATGTGAGGTCAGTAACACAGGTGTAATGTGAGGTCAGTAACACAGGTGTAATGTGAGGACTGTAACACAGGTGTAATGTGAGGTCAGTAACACAGGTGTAATGTGAGGACTGTAACACAGGTGTAATGTGAGGTCTGTAACACAGGTGTATGTGAGGTCTGTAACACAGGTGTAATGTAAGGTCTGTAACACAGGTGTAATGTGAGGTCTGTAACACAGGTGTAATGTGAGGTCTGTAACACAGGTGTAATGTGAGGTCTGTAACACAGGTGTAATGTAAGGTCTGTAACACAGGTGTAATGTGAGGTCTGTAACACAGGTGTAATGTGAGGTCTGTAACACAGGCGTAATGTGAAGTCTGTAAAACAGGTGTAATGTGAAGTCTGTAACACAGGTGTAATGTGAGGTCTGTAACACAGGTGTAATGTGAGGTCTGTAACACAGGTGTAATGTGAGGTCTGTTACACAGGTGTAATGTGAGGTCTGTAACACGGGTGTAATGTGAGGTCTGTAACACAGGTGTATGTGAGGTCTGTAACACAGGTGTAATGTAAGGTCTGTAACACAGGTGTAATGTGAGGTCTGTAACACAGGTGTAATGTGAGGTCTTTAACACAGGTGTAATGTGAGGTCTGTAACACAGGTGTAATGTGAGGTCTGTAACACAGGTGTAATGTGAGGTCTGTAACACAGGTGTAATGTGAGGTCTGTAACACAGGTGTAATGTGAGGTCTTTAACACAGGTGTAATGTGAGGTCTTTAACACAGGTGTAATGTGAGGTCTGTAACACAGGCGTAATGTGAGGTCTGTAACACAGGTGTAATGTGAGGTCTGTAACACAGGTGTAATGTGCTTGACAGAGCCGTCGACAGTTGAGTCTCAGCCTTAAAGACAAAGGAAACCAGCTGTTCAAGAACCAGGGTGAGTCTAAACAAAAGTGTGTGTTGTGTACCAGGTGCACTCTGGGGCCCTCCAAGTGTGTGTGTGTGTACCAGGTCCACTCTGGGGCCCTCTAAGTGTGTGTGTGTGTGTGTTGCTTTCTTTTTGCCTTTAGCTTGTTTGCACACTTCTGTCTTTTGCACAAATCTTGAGTGATTCTTTCCATGCCAAATGTCTCCGGTGTGAGATCAATAAAGTCTATCTTATCTGAATGTTATGTGTCTCCTCAGACTGGGCGAGTGCAGAGTGTGTTTACTCCGATGCTCTGTCTGCTTGTCCTCTGAGCTTCAGCGCCGACAGAGCAGTTCTATTTTCCAACAGAGCGGCTGCCAGAGTGCACCTGGTAAACATACACACACACACACCCTCACACAACAAACACAAAACATCAACACACACACTTACAGGGCCCCAGAGTGCACCTGGTAAACACACACTCACATACAGGGCCCCAGAGGGCACCTGGTAAACACACACACACACATACAGGGCCCCAGAGGGCACCTGGTAAACACACACACACACACACATACAGGGCCCCAGAGTGTACCTGGTAAACACACAAACACATACAGGGCCCCAGAGGGCACCTGGTAAACACACACACACATACGGGGCCCCAGGGTGTACCTGGTAAACATACACACACATACAGGGCCCCAGAGTGCACCTGGTAAACATGCACACACATGGACAGCAGTTTATAAACATGTTCTAAATGTTTTTTTATTTTCTCAGGAAAAAAAAGACATGGCCATTGCTGACTGCTCCAAAGGTTGGTTCTACTGCAGCGTGTCCTGGTTCGGGCTCAATATGGAGCAAAAAATATATCTTTAAATTATTTGCTATATCTCAATATACAATATATGCAAATCTCATGCAGAGGATCCACACACAGAAGAGAGCTAGCAGCCGGCAACCAACTCTATCTATTATATCTCTGGATATATTTAACTTGGCTCCTTCAGGTCCTAGTGTAACTCAGATCCTCCAGGTCCAGGTCTTTCAGGTCCCAGGAATGACAGTGGCTCACCGACTCCCACTGATGTCTGCTGTTGTTGTGTCCTTGGCAAGACACTTAACCTCTGGGAAGACCTGAGGCCACAGTGGAGCGGCTGTAAAGTGCCCTCCTGCCGTTGTGTCCTTAGGCAAAACACTTCACCCCCTTTTGCCTATAATGAGTCTGGTGTGTGTGGGAATGGTTGGTGGTGGTGGTCGGTGGGCCCATGGCACAGACTGGTTGTCTCGCTTCTGTCAGTGTGCCCCAGGGCAGCTGTGGCTACAGTAGTAGTTTATCACCACCGTGTATGAAGTGAATGAATAATGACATGTGAAGTGTCTGAGTGTCCAAAAAAGCTCTATATAAAACCGATGCATTATTATTATAATTATCATTATTTATTATTTTTTTCAGCCGTGGAGCTCAAGCCAGACTACATGAAGGCTCTTCTGCGTCGCGCTGAACTCTACGAACAAACAGACAAACTGGACGAAGCTCTAGAGGACTACAAGAACATCCTGGAGAGAGACCCAGGGAACGGAGCAGCCAGAGGGGCCGCTGTGGTACGCACACACACACACATACACATACACACACACACACACACACACACACACACACACACACACACACACACACACACACACACACACACACACACACACACACACACACACACACACACACACACACACACACTCACACTCACACTCACACTCACACTCACACTCACACTCACACTGTCGGGAGTCGGGACTGTAGACCTCACAGATTACACACATCCAGACACACACAAAGAATTTTATTCCTTTCAAATCACTATTCTCAATTTCCATTTTCACAGAACACACATTTCTCTAATTGTTTGTTTGTTTGTTTGCAGAGACTTCCGCCTCTGATCCACGAGAGAAATGAGAAACTCAAAGAGGAAATGATGAGTATGTTAGATCTTGAGCACTGGGCTGATGTGTTGTCCTGTTTTAGTGTAGGATACTGCTCTCCAGCCTTTCTCCATAGAGTATATACTTATATATACTGAGTGTACACTATAATAGTACGGTATTAAACAATGTGTGTGTGTGAGATATGGGGCAAATTAGTATTTAGTCAGCCACCAATTGTTGAAGTCCTGAAGTACTGAGAAAAAGAATCACATTTTCTGATTTTTAAACAATATATTTGCAAATGTCTTTAGTCAATAACAAAGGTCCACTTCTTGCTGGTTCTGTCCCTGTGCTGTCCATGGCATAGAGGACAGGCCAGAGGACTGATGTACAGCAGCAACAGTCAGATGTGTTTGTCCTCACGGTCTCTGTGGCTCGTGTGGTCAGACGCAAGACTTTATGAAATACAAAAAACAATGTCCAGAATCACTGTCACTCTTTCTGATGTTTAAATACTGTGTGCGTGGAGCTGATCTAGTGCCAAAGGCCAAACAGCACAAACATGTTTCCCATGGGTATTGACTAAAAATTAAAATGTGAATATATTCTAAAATATATTATTAAAAAAGTTCTAGTTGCTATTGTTGTGTCCACCAGAGGGCAGTGCAGGCAGGTAATCAATGCGGTTTTAGAAGAAACATGTCCACCCTGCTCCAGGGAAAATCAACATTTGCAACGAATACACTCAAAGATCATGCCAGTATAATATTCAGATATTAAGGGCTGTCATTATTTTTAATATTCAAATTATGTCCAAATTTCGTTTTTCCTGCATTGTTGACTGAATGCTGCAAATTTGGCCAATTAATCGGCTTTTAAAAAAATCGAATTTTTCTAAAAATGTGAAAATTGTGTGAAGGATATTGTGAGAGTTCAATATGTGCACAGTCTGTACAAGACTTTAATAATACGTATTGGGGGAAACAAATTAAAAAACGTTTTGAAACTTGAATATTGAGCGGAAAGATCAGAAATTATTTTTAAGGGCAAAGTCTGTCTTCGGTGACTTTAATGAAAATTGATTTCAAATCAATCGTCCAAAGCGATGGAAATAAAATTGAGATTTTACTGTTTTGCCATATTGCCCAGCCCTACATCGGCGTGCGATGTGCTGCTCCAAGCTTCGATCGCACAACTGAAATTATCCCTGCAGCGTCCTGTCCCGCTGCGGAAGTCTCTCTGCTTCAAATGGTGCGTGCAGTGTGTAGGGGCCATAGATGTTCTCTGGTGCTGAGGCTCCAGGACCAGTGTGTGAAGGACATTCAATTTTCAGAAAAACAGGCCCAAAGCATGATGTTTCCACCCCCATGGTTCACTGTAAGTCTGTTGTGGTGCATTTAGATTCTTTCTAAATCTGACCATGTGATTATCTGGGGAGTTATTTTCTCATAAAAACTGTCTGCATACTTTGTTGCTCCACTGTAGTGTTGTTCTCATCTGTCATTGTGTGTTTCCTGTAGGTAAACTGAAGGACTTGGGGAACCTGGTTCTTCGTCCCTTTGGTCTCTCAACTAGTAACTTCCAGCTGAACCAGGACCAGAGCACCGGCGCTTATAACATCAACTTTGTACAGAACCCCAACAACAACAACAGATGAGACCAGGCCTGAACCAGGACTAGGCCTGAACCAGGACTAGGCCTGAACCAGGACTAGGGCTGCACCAGGTCTGAACCAAAACTGAAGCAGGTCTGGATGACGGGACAAAGCGGTGTGGAAGAGGTCCTTTGAAATGCTCTTGCCCTTTCCTCTACGTCCAACACTACTCCTCCTCCGACCTGCGGCTGTGTTTAGCTCCATCCTTGCTCCATCCTTGCTCACATCAGGAACCTCCCCGCCCCTTCTGTGTAAATGCTCAGCTTTCAAACTCATGACACTGATGACTCCTGGGACTTCAGTTGGATCAGCAGGATGTCCTTTCACTGCTCTCATCTATTACACCATTTTCTTCACATCCTGAAACTCGGACTCCGTGATCCTCCTGAAGGTCGCAGTTCAGGGACAGACTCATGTTTCAGTCCTGGCCGTGTCTCCGTATTTAAATATGAGTCTGAAATAAAATGTGTTTTTTATTCTGGTGTCTTTCTCACACAAACTTGATCTGCTTCAGGCCTCAATGCAAATATTTAAACTTTATGTGGCATTAAAGCAGGGGTCTGTAACTTTCAGACCAATAACTTCATTTCTCTAGTTCCTGACTCTAAAACAGTTCATTTTCACATCATACATTTCTGGACTCTGCCACGTCTTTACAGTGTTTTCAGACAAAAGGGAAACAGGGAGGACCTCAGTTAGCCTCAAACTACATGTTATGAGACAAGTCACAGACCCCAGCTTTAACCCCTGTGCTAACCACCACCGACGATTAAAAGAAAATACCCTTAATTAGGGTCTAAATGACCAGAGTCCAGTTAAGCAAAAATAATTTTTCCTCAAAACAAATTTAGGATATTTTTTAATCACTCAATTTGACCCAAGAACAAGGGATAAACATTTTATTTATGAGGCTAAAGTTACAGACCCATCTTAAAACAATGTATTTAAAAAAAATAATTACTAGAAATAATTCAAGAGGAACAAGAATTGACCGCAAAGAGCAACACAAAACAGTTTATTATAGATTAGAAATTGGGACCAGACCAGGGGCAAGGCTGTTATAATTTCCCAGTTTGAAACTCCAGCTTTTCCTTAGCGGAGCTCAGATTAAATTTGGTTTGTGGCGCCATCTGGTGGTTTAACAGATACTGCAGTGAACGGCACATAACTGACAGCTGTAAAAACAAGTTGGTGAAATAAAAGTTTAAGTCCAGCATCGAACACATCAAAACAGGAGATCTGCAGAGTGTACTCCAGTACTCCAGTACTCCAGTACTTCAGCAGTCCTCGAGTACTCCCTGTAATACTCCAGGACTCATGTGGCCCGTCGCGACAGCAGCATCTCTCTGATGTTGTCCTCTGCCTCCTTCACGCTGCGCTCCAGGTACTGCTTCTTTTGCTGCAGATACATTAGAGGACACACTATAGACCACTCCGGGGAAGTCTAGTCCGGTCCAGTCTAGTTGGGTCCAGTCCAGTTTCATTCAGTCCGGTGGAGTCTGGTCCGGTCTCGTCCTGCCTTTTTGGCCTTTAACATGTTTGCACACTTGTGTCTTTTGCACAGATCTTGAGTGATTCTATCCATGCCAAATCTAACATGTAAACTTCTCCTGTGTGAGATCAATAAAGTCTATCTTATCCTAAAGTTCAGGTTTAGGATAAGATAGACTAAACAACCTAAACAAGTTCAGGTTTAGGATAAGATAGACTAAACAACCTAAACAAGTTCAGGTTTAGGATAAGATAGACTAAACAACATAAACAAGTTCAGGTTTAGGATAAGATAGACTAAACAACCTAAACAAGTTCAGGTTTAGGACCGACCTCCAGCTCTTTGATCTTCTCATCAGCGGTCTTCTGTTTGTCCGTCAGCTGGTTGTTGATTTCCTCTTTGGACTGAAGGATGAACCTGCACACATCGCCACGACAACGGTTACTACACACATCGCCACGACAACTGTTTCATTTTACATGCATTGGTTTTGTTGGGACAGCGTGTATTAATGAACCGCAGGAGCAGGAAATATACACCAGATTGTATTTTTGTAGTCCCACAGTCGCACTCATTCCACCCCCAACTATTGTACATGTTTCTGATGGTAGAGGAAACTGGAACGTCTGGAGCAAGCCTACACACACTGGGAGAACATGCAAACTCCACACAGAAAAGCCTGGAGATGGAATTGAACTCTGGACCTTCTGTGAAGCTGCTAATCACTGCCCCACCCCGCTACGGCGTCTTTATCTTAAGGAAGAAACAAGCCTGTGTTCTCTATAACAGTGTTTTTCAACAGCTGTCCCTCGGCACACTAGTGTGCCGTATCACTTTGTCTGGTGTGCCGCGAGAAATTAATCTACTTTGTCTAAAAATAGATGCATCCGCAAATGATGTGCCAGCGAGTGCTGTCTTGTTGTGACTGGTAACCATGTAATACTTTTTCATATCAGTAGGTGGCAGCAGATAGCTTATTACTTTGAGACATTAGAAGTAGTGCATGGATGAGACCACAGGATGTGACAGGTAGCGGGGACAGAGGCATTGTGGCTAGCGAGACGTGACAGTGATGGAGAAGTTTTTGAAAAGAAAAGGTGCCATATCCGAACTGGACCCTGGACAAAATCTGGACCCAGGTGAAGGCCCAAGTATGAGTGGCGGTAAAAAGAAAGACAATTGCGCAAGGCTATACAACGAAAACTATCTTTCATTTGGATTTACTTTCACCGGGGATGCACTGAAACAGAGTCCGTTGTGTTTGGTGTGTGGTGAAAAGCTATCCAACAGTGCTATGGTCCCAAGCAAGCTTAAACGCCATCTGCAAACGAAACATTCGTCGCTTCAGAACAAGAATGTGCACTATTTTGCTCGGCTGCGAGAACAAACAGAGAAACAGGCAACTTTAATGAAAAAAAAAACAAAAGTTAACGAGAAGGCACTTAAAGCTAGTTACCACGTTGCTGAACTTGTAGCTAAGTCAAAAAAGTCGCACACTGTGGCAGAGACATTAATACTTCCCGCTTGCAAAGCCATTGTTAATGAGATGCTCGGACCAGAGGCAGCTAAAGAAATAGCTAAAGTCCATCTCTCAGATAACACCATTTCCAGACGTATTAATGACATGTCTGCAGACATTGAAACTATTGTTTTGGAAAAAATCCGCATCAGTAAGACATTTGCACTGCAGCTTGATGAATCCACTGATATGGATGCACGTTTTGTGGATGGAGACGTAATCATAGAAAACTTCCTCTTTTGCAAATCACTGCCAGAAAAAACAACAGGAGAGGAAATATTTCGGGTCACGTCAGAATATCTTGAGCAAGGAGGACTTAAGTGGGAAAACTGCATAAGTGTCTGCACTGATGGAGCTGCAGCCATGCTCGGGCGCACCAAAGGCTTCGTAAGCAGAGTGAAGGAGAGAAATCCAGCTGTTATTGTTACGCACTGTTTTTTACATCGTGAGGCCCTCGTAGCCAAGACTTTACCAGCAGATCTTGTGCCTGTGTTGGATGATGCCGTGCGCATTGTAAACTTTGTGAAGTTACGACCCATGAAATCCCGCATATTTGCATCTTTGTGTGAGGCAATGGGAGCAGAGCATAAAGCCTTGCTGTTTCATACGGAGGTGCGCTGGTTGTCGCGCGGCAAGGTCTTGGCCCGTGTGTATGAGCTGCGGGAGGAGCTTAAAGTGTTTCTGATTAACGAGAGGTCCGACTACGCAAAACTGCTTGCAAGTGATGAGTGGTGCGCACGGCTGGCATACCTGGCAGACATTTTTCATCATTTGAATGAACTTAACACACGAATGCAAGGCCGAAACGAAAACCTTCTCACAAGTACAGATAAAATAAATGGATTTCGTTCAAAGTTACATCTCTGGCAGGAACATGTGGAAAATGGGAATCTTGAAATGTTCACACTCACCAAACAATGGCAAGATGTAAACACAAATGCATTGTGTGATATAATAGTTAATCATTTAAAAAGTCTTGAGGAGAGGATGTCATTTTATTTTTCTTCAGCCTCCACTGAAAACCTTGACTGGGTTAGGGACCCATACAGCTCAGCATCAGTTGGGGGAATGGACATGACTTTACAGGAGCAGGAGGAACTAACTGAACTGAGACAAACCCGTGGTTTAAAGCTAAAATTTGCAGATCTACCTTTGGACAGTTTTTGGTTGGCTACTGCCAAAGAGTTCCCCATTCTGGCAAACAAAGCTATTTTGACATTGCTCCCATTTTCAACCACTTCTCTGTGTGAGGTGAGCTTTTCAAGCCTGACTGCTATAAAGACTAAAAACAGAGAAAGACTGAGAGCTGTTGAGGAAGACCTTCGTGTGTGTCTTTCTTCTATTCCTGCCAGGATAGAATTATAATAATGATCAAAATAATGTTTTCTTTGTGTTCATGTCTATTAAAAACACTTTGATGAGAACTACTGTAAATTGTGGAGTATATATTTTTAAATTTTCTCCTAGTGGTGTGCCTCGAGATTTTTTCAATGAAAACAGTGTGCCTTGGCTTTAAAAAGGTTGAAAAACACTGCTCTATAATATAAACCTGCACATTATCACAGAAGAGAAAGATGTTCCTCCAGAGTGGCTCTGTAGTTTGGACCTCATTATAAGTGGTTCCAGTCCGTGACAGAGACTGAAGGACTCTACAGCCTGTGTGTAAGACGAGATACGATAAGATAAACTTTATTGATCTCACACTGGGGAAATGTACATGTCGCATTTGGCATAAACAGAATCACACAGATTGTGCGTTTGTAGAGTGTGGTGTGTGCGTTTGTGTGTTGGAGTGTCTCGGAGAAGTGCTCACTCACATGCGCCCCACCCCCTCGTACAGCCGGGTGTTGTCCGGCAGAACGCTGATCTCGTGGTGCGTCAGCTGAGCGTGCTTCTGGACCTTACTGAGCTGCTCGATCTGGAGGTCGGCCATCTTGGCCTTCTGCTGCGTGTCGAGGACCTTCACCTGCAGCTCTGAGAACGCCTGCGCACAAAGACACACATTTAAATATAACAGACATTAGAAGGTCCTGAGAACATGGGTCCACGGTGGTCAGCCATCACTGAGCTGTCACCATAGCAACACAAAACCTTCCTCGCCCCACCCATTTCCTCAGGTCTTCATGTTCAGCCTGGACACACTGAGGAAATGGGTGGAGTCTGCTGTGCTCCTGCTATTGGAATGAAAACCTGCAGCCACACCGGTCATAGCAACCGTTGCCGAGGAGCTTTAGCTAATAGACCTTGACCTTTTGCACATTTTGTCAGGTTTAAAGCCATAAACATAAATATTTCATCTAGAATTTTTGCCTGAAATTTCACACACGTGACAGACGACAGAAGTGAAAGTAAAACCATACATGATTCTGTTATTATTAAAAAAATAGAAAAGTGAAAGTAGGGCATGCGCACGTACTTTCTTCATGACTGCTGAATGTTCTTGATTAAATAGAGGCCACAGGTGTGTGATCTACTCAGTATACATACAGCTGTGTTCTGGTCACTAAACAGCATCATGGAGGCTAAGGAGCAGGAGGGGGGGGGACCTGTGTGGCTGCTTTTCTTCAGCGGGGACTGGATTAGATTAAAACAACATGGTCAAAGTTCAGACCTAAATTCAACAGAACATCTGTAGAAAGACTTAAAAACGCTCTCCGTCTAATCTGGCAGAGCTGGAGCTGTTTTGTAAAGAGGAATGGCACAACTTTCTGTCTGTAGATTTGCATATCTTGTAGAATCATTGCTGTTATTTGACTTCACAGTTTTCTGTTACTTGAATTTGAAATGTTAGACAGTACCAGATGACCATAGACAGACCATAGACAGTACCAGATGACCATAGACAGTACCAGATGACCATAGACAGACCATAGACAGTACCAGATGACCATAGACAGCACCAGATGACCATAGACAGCACCAGATGACTATAGACAGTACCAGATGACCATAGACAGTACCAGATGACCATAGACAGCACCAGATGACCATAGACAGCACCAGATGACCATAGACAGCACCAGATGACCATAGACCGTACCAGATGACTATAGACAGTACCAGATGACCATAGACAGCACCAGATGACCACAGACAGTACCAGATGACCATAGACAGCACCAGATGACCATAGACAGTACCAGATGACCATAGACAGTACCAGATGACCATAGACAGTACCAGATGACCATAGACAGTACCAGATGACTATAGACAGACCATAGACAGCACCAGATGACTATAGACAGTACCAGATGACCATAGACAGTACCAGATGACCATAGACAGTACCAGATGACCCTAGACAGCACCAGATGACCATAGACAGTACCAGATGACCATAGACAGTACCAGATGACCACAGACAGTACCAGATGACCACAGACAGTACCAGATGACCACAGACAGCACCAGATGACCATAGACAGTACCAGATGACCCTAGACAGTACCAGATGACCACAGACAGTACCAGATGACCATAGACAGTACCAGATGACCATAGACAGTACCAGATGACCACAGACAGTACCAGATGACCATAGACAGCACCAGATGACCATAGACAGTACCAGATGACCATAGACAGTACCAGATGACTATAGACAGTACCAGATGACCATAGACAGTACCAGATGACCACAGACAGTACCAGATGACCACAGACAGTACCAGATGACCACAGACAGTACCAGATGACTACAGACAGCACCAGATGACCATAGACAGCACCAGATGACCATAGACAGCACCAGATGACCATAGACAGCACCAGATGACCATAGACAGCACCAGATGACCATAGACAGTACCAGATGACCATAGACAGCACCAGATGACCATAGACAGTACCAGATGACCATAGACAGCACCAGATGACCATAGACAGTACCAGATGACTATAGACAGTACCAGATGACCATAGACAGCACCAGATGACCATAGACAGCACCAGATGACCATAGACAGCACCAGATGACCATAGACAGTACCAGATGACCATAGACAGCACCAGATGACCATAGACAGTACCAGATGACTATAGACTGTACCAGATGACCATAGACGGCACCAGATGACCATAGACAGCACCAGATGACCATAGACAGCACCAGATGACCATAGACAGTACCAGATGACCATAGACAGTACCAGATGACCATAGACCGTACCAGATGACCATAGACAGTACCAGATGACCATAGACCGTACCAGATGACCATAGACCGTACCAGATGACCATAGACAGCACCAGATGACCATAGACAGCACCAGATGACCATAGACAGTACCAGATGACCATAGACAGCACCAGATGACCATAGACAGCACCAGATGACCATAGACAGTACCAGATGACCATAGACAGCACCAGATGACCATAGACAGCACCAGATGACCACAGACAGTACCAGATGACCATAGACAGCACCAGATGACCATAGACCGTACCAGATGACTATAGACAGTACCAGATGACCACAGACAGTACCAGATGACTATAGACAGCACCAGATGACCATAGACAGTACCAGATGACTATAGACAGTACCAGATGACCACAGACAGTACCAGATGACTATAGACAGCACCAGATGACCATAGACAGTACCAGATGACTATAGACAGTACCAGATGACCACAGACAGTACCAGATGACTATAGACAGTACCAGATGACCATAGACAGTACCAGATGACCATAGACAGTACCAGATGACCATAGACAGTACCAGATGACCATAGACAGCACCAGATGACCACAGACAGTACCAGATGACCATAGACAGTACCAGATGACCATAGACAGTACCAGATGACCATAGACAGTACCAGATGACCATAGACAGCTTCTGCGGCGTGCGTCTGTCACTCGCGGCTCGTTCGTCTTTATTATAATATTATTATTACTCATTATTTTACTCTGTATTCTGTATAATGACGATGCGTAGCTTGCTCTGCTGCAGCTTATGTTAAACATGTTTAAATCAGAGAAACACATTAAAAACTCAGACACTACCTTCTTTAGCTCGAGGTCTACGGGCGTCGCCATCTTGCTCTGGGAAGAGTGCACTGCGCATGCGCCACATTATAACATACAGTCTATGATTAGAGACAGAGAAAGAGGAGACAGAGACTGATCTCAGAGGGGCAGAATGGACTGCTCTGAGTTAACCGTAGAACTTTTTATTTGATTTTATAAAAAGAAGACAGAAATAAAGTACATGTAGATACCGTTATTATTACAGATCCATGGTAGATACAGAAAAAGTTACAAAGAGCACAAATGTATAAAAGCAGTCACACTGGGGGTTTCTGTAGCGTCTGTTTGTGTTCTTTAACAGTCCAATAGGCACAGGACAGTCTCCGACCAGAGGACCACAGACTGAGGTCACATGTGTGTGACGTCACATATGTGTGGTCATTTCACATGTGTGTTTGTAGTAATGTTACATGCCGCCCCCCCATCCCCCCATCACCTCCTCCCCCCATCCCCCCATCACCTCCTCCCCCATCCCCCCATCACCTCCTCCTCCCCCCTCCCCCCATCCCCCCATCACCTCCTCCTCCCCCCTCCCCCCATCCCCCCATCACCTCCTCCCCCCTCCCCCCTCCCCCATCACCTCCTCCCCCCTTCCCCCATCACCACCTCCTCCCCCCTCCCCCCATCCCCCCATCACCTCCTCCCCCCTCCCCCCTCCCCCATCACCTCCTCCCCCATCCCCTCCTCCCCCCATCACCTCCTCCCCCCTCCCCCCATCCCCCCATCACCTCCTCCCCCCTTCCCCCATCACCACCTCCTCCCCCCTCCCCCCATCCCCCCATCACCTCCTCCCCCCTCCCCCCTTCCCCCATCACCACCTCCTCCCCCCTCCCCCCTCCCCCCATCACCTCCTCCTCCCCCCTCCCCCATCCCCTCCCCCCTCCCCCATCCCCTCCCCCCCTCCCTCTTGGGTCCACAGTCCGCTGCTGATCTGTGTCAAGCTTCAGTCATAAACGACTTTTATAACAGTCATAAAGGTTTACTATGTCATGTTAATGTTCACACACACTTCCTCCTCTTCCTCCACCACGTCCTCCTCTTCCTCCATCTTCTCCTCTCCCTCCACCACCTCCCCCTCTTCTTCCACTTCCTCGTCTGCTGGCTCCTCTTCCCCCTCTGGCTCCTTCTCCTCCTCTTCCTCCTCTTCCTCCTCTTCCTCCAGCTCCTCCTCATGGGTCTTGAACTGAGTTTTGAACTCGGCCGCTCCAGGTGCAGCGCGGGGAATAAAGATTTTTCATGATTTTTAAATAATAATTATGTGACATCACAGAGTGTTAGCCTCAGTATGCTTAGTAAGCTAGAACTGCAGCCAATTTCCTTATATGGGCATTTGTTCCGATGGTGTTAACTTGTGGCAGACGTGTTGCTAAGACGGTTGCTATGTAGGCTGAAGTTTCCCGACAAATGAAGACAACTCATTGGTCAGTCCTGACATGGTTTAAGTCCAGTGGGGGAGGGTCCCGGCTCAAAAGTGTCCAAAATGACATGCGCTGACATGCTGCAGTACCACCCCGGGTCGAAAACGTCTTTACAGGATGCACCAACAGTTGTCTCTTGGCCCAAAGCTCCGTTCCACATGTGTGTCAGTGCTGAGGGGGGTGTTCTGGACCACTCTAGTTTATTCGCTGTGAATTTTTGAAGTTTCTCGTTCAAATGAATGGAGCTGCGGCGGCTGACGCATGCGCAGATGCGTTGTTTTACAATTTTCTTGTGGGCTTGCGGCCATCTTGGATAGCTCCAGTAGAGCACAATTTTTGGCCCATTAGTTAGAACGGCGCAGATAGATAGAACGTCCGTTAATATATAAAGTCTATGTCTAAGCCCAAAATGGTGAGTGTGACAGAAACGGTTTAGCCAAACTTCACCATGAGAACTTCCCCATTGGGCTTCATTGAGCTAGAGCATGGGTTTAAGTCCAGGCCCAGGGGTCAAATCCGGCCCGAGAATGAATGATCTTGGCCCCTGGGATGATATTTGATTAGTATTAGAACCAGCCGCACAGAGCCATAAGATTAATTTTAATAATCTTATGGCTATAATCTAGAATAATCATTTAAGGTTCAGGACGTTTGTTTTTGTCTGTGAGTTGTTGACAAATGTTTACACTTGAAATAACTGACAAAGCATTATAAAAACATTGGATTAAATAGAATATGGTACACTGTGTTAGGTCAGTTCAACAGGTTTGATGCATCATTTTAATATGTTTTAATAAACACTGAACCAGTCCGGCCTTCCTCAAATTTGTTTTTTTTTGGCCTCTGATGTATTTGACTTTGACATCTCTGAGCTAGAGGGTTAGCATTGAGCTAGAGGGTTAGCATTGAGCTAGAGGGTTAGCATTGAGCTAGAGGGTTAGCATTGAGCTTGAGGGTTAGCATTGAGCTAGAGGGTTAGCATTGACCTAGAGGGTTAGCATTGAGCTTGGAGGTTAGCATTGAGCTAGAGGGTTAGCATTGAGCTAGAGGGTTAGCATTGAGCTTGGAGGTTAGCATTGAGCTAGAGGGTTAGCATTGAGCTAGAGGGTTAGCATTGAGCTAGAGGGTTAGCATTGAGCTTGGAGGTTAGCATTGAGCTAGAGGGTTAGCACAGTCCATCTAAACACAGTTTATGGTTCATACTGTTTTGGCGCAGAGCACTCAAACCGAGGCCACTGACACTGATCCTGGGTCAGATCTGACCTGAAACATTCTTGTTTTGGACCAAAGTCGTAAAAAGGGGATTTCTGTGTCAGAATGTGAGCTTTATAGTTTTATGTATTTATGATGTTCACTGATGGCTGTTTAGACGGCGGAACATAAACCCACTGTAATAAGCGTGTTTCCCACAGGGCTCTAAACACCGCCACTTATGGCCCTAAAGTCATTAAAGGCCGAGGGCCGGCTCCTGTGCTCTGGCCCTCAGCCTCATGATGATCATGTGACGTACAGAGGAGAACACATCACCCCTGTCCTCCGCTGGCCCTCAGCCTCATGATGATCATGTGACGTACAGAGGAGAGAACACATCACCCCTGTCCTCCGCTGGCCCTCAGCCTCATGATGATCATGTGACGTACAGAGGAGAACACATCACCCCTGTCCTCCGCTGGCCCTCAGCCTCATGATGATCATGTGACGTACAGGAGAGAACACATCACCCCTGTCCTCCGCTGGCCCTCAGCCTCATGATGATCATGTGACGTACAGAGGAGAGAACACATCACCCCTGTCCTCCGCTGGTCCTCAGCCTCATGATGATCATGTGACGTACAGGAGAGAACACATCACCCCTGTCCTCCGCTGGTCCTCAGCCTCATGATGATCATGTGACGTACAGAGGAGAACACATCACTCCTGTCCTCCGCTGGTCCTCAGCCTCATGATGATCATGTGACGTACAGAGGAGAACACATCACCCCTGTCCTCCGCTGGCCCTCAGCCTCATGATGATCATGTGTGACGTACAGAGGAGAGAACACATCACCCCTGTCCTCCGCTGCCTCCACTGGCTGCACGTCACTAAAGTCTCCTTAGCTCAGAGCTCCACACTCCGCCGCACGCCGCCCGCCACGGTGCACAGGGCCTCAGGTGCACAGGGCCTCAGGTGCACAGGGCCTCAGGTGCACAGGGCCTCAGGTGCACAGGGCCTCAGGTGTCCGGGCCTCAGGGGTCCGGGCCTCAGGTGCACAGGGCCTCAGGTGCACAGGGCCTCAGGTGCACAGGGCCTCAGGTGTCCGGGCCTCAGGGGTCCGGGCCTCAGGTGCACAGGGCCTCAGGTGCACAGGGCCTCAGGTGCACAGGGCCTCAGGTGTCCGGGCCTCAGGTGCACAGGGCCTCAGGTGCACAGGGCCTCAGGTGCACAGGGCCTCAGGTGCACAGGGCCTCAGGTGCACAGGGCCTCAGGTGTCCGGGCCTCAGGGGTCCGGGCCTCAGGTGCACAGGGCCTCAGGTGCACAGGGCCTCAGGTGCACAGGGCCTCAGGTGCACAGGGCCTCAGGTGTCCGGGCCTCAGGTGCACAGGGCCTCAGGTGCACAGGGCCTCAGGTGCACAGGGCCTCAGGTGCACAGGGCCTCAGGTGTCCGGGCCTCAGGTGCACAGGGCCTCAGGTGCACAGGGCCTCAGGTGCACAGGGCCTCAGGTGCACAGGGCCTCAGGTGCACAGGGCCTCAGGTGCACAGGGCCTCAGGTGTCCGGGCCTCAGGGGTCCGGGCCTCAGGTGCACAGGGCCTCAGGGGTCCGGGCCACGGGAACGGGAGGTTGTGGGTGTGATCTCTTGCAGAAGTCGCTCTCGTGTCTGTAGTTTGGGGCTTCCTCCATTTCGCAGCTGTCCTCACAAAATGTCCGCCGCCGCTCGCCACGTTCAAAGGTCGCTGGCGTTATCTGTGATTCAGAAACACAGGGAGTGTCCTGCTCAACGGCACAATTCTGGCTTTGCCTTGTTTTTTACAGACGTGAACAGTGTTGTGGTTAGTGTGAAACCGTAAAGACATGAAGTGTGTGTGTGTGTGGTGTGTGCGTGTATGTGTGTGTGGTGTGTGTGGTGTGTGTGCGTGCGTATGTGCGTATGTGTGTGTGTGTGTGTGGTGTGTGTGCGTATGTGTGTGTGTGTGTGTGGTGTGTGCGCGTATGTGTGTGTGGTGTGTGTGCGTGCGTATGTGTGTGTGTGTGCGTATGTGTGTGTGGTGTGTGTGTGTGTTTGTGTGTGTGTGTGTTTTTGTGTGTGTGTGCGTATGTGTGTGTGTGAGTGCGTATGTGTGTGTGGTGTGTGTGTGTGTGTGTGTATGTGTGTGTGTGAGTGCGTATGTGTGTGTGGTGTGTGTGTGCGTGGTGTGTGTGTGTGTGTGTGTGCGTGCGTATGTGTGTTGCAATGAGGGGAAAGTGTGTTAGGTCATCATAAAACATCATAAACACGTAAATATCTCACATTGTGACAGAAACAGATCTGCGAAGATGGAACAGGACATTTTATTCATTTTTTAATTTCTTCCAGACATTATTAAAGCTGGGGTGTGTAACTTTAAAGCTGGGGTGTGTAACTTTAAAGCTGGGGTGTGTAACTTTAAAGCTGGGGTGTGTAACATTCAGATCACACCAAATGAACTCTTTCCTGTCTTTAAAACATTTTGCTTGCTCAAGTTTTCACATTCATGTATTTTTAGCCTCTGTCACATTTTATTCTGACGTTTTGAAGCAGTTTTTAAATACAGATGTAAATATAATTATAAATATATATATCATACATTTTATATAATATTTGTATAATATTCTGAGGCACTAATATTGAAACTCCCACTTTTCAAAGTGTGTGAATTTGTTCAAATCAGAGAATGAAAGCATTCAGATCTGAACTCGACTCGTTAAAAACCATGAGATAACAGAATTATTACTCTTTGTCTTAGACCTGAGACAGACCTGGTCCAGACCTGGTTTAGTCCTGGTTCAGACCTGGTCCAGACCTGCCCCCTCTGTATAAGGAGCGGTTGTAAAAGTCATGTGACCACAGCTTTTAAATGAGGACAGCGAGAGGACAGGTGTCAGAGACCAGGTGATCCCAGAGACCAAGACCTGGAACTGGTCTAGACCCGGATCTGCATTTGGATCTAAACTCCGAACCAGGATTGAACCACAACAGAACCCGGAACCTGGACTGAACCAAGACCGAACCAGGAGCTCGTCCGGATTAAATGGATAGATTCTGGTCAAACATTTAAATTATTTCCATATTTTTTTTACATTTGTGAAATTATTTACATTTAAACCTGAAATTTGAACAATTATTCTGAACCAAAGTTTTGCCCAGTTTCAAATCCGAAGTAATTCTTGAAACAAAATATTGAATATATTGTTCAGCTCTAAGCCTGACCTCAGTGCAGGGACCTCAGCGGGACTTCAGTGAGACCTCAGTGGGACCTCAGTGAGACCTCAGTGGGACCTCAGTGGGACCTCAGCGGGACCTCAGCGGGACTTCAGCGGGACCTCAGTGGGACCTCAGTCTGGACCCCCCTGGAGCCCCCTCCCTCCCCCCCTCCCTCCCTCCCCTTGGCACCATGTACTACCTGCAGCTGGAGAAGGAGCCGCTCTACCCCCCGCAGAGCCGCTTTGTGCCCGGGCCGCAGTACCAGGACTTCGGGTACCACCACCACCACCACGTGCCTCCCCCGGAGCCCCCGCATGGAGCCTGGAGCGCAGCGTACGGGACGGCGGCCGTGAGGGAGGACTGGGCCTACGGGCACGGCGCGCACGGAGCGCACGGAGGACACACGCACGGAGCGCACGGAGGACACACGCACGGAGCGCACGGAGCGCACGGAGCGCAGGGGACAGGTATGTTCTTTTCATTTTGTTTGTGTTACTCATTTATTTCAAACTTGATAGAAAATAAACAGAAAAAAGTTTAATCGTAATGTTTAACTTCAATCAATTACTTATTTTATTTATTTTTCTAATTTAATGTTGTGTTTGTTCTTAGTTTTATCAAAGGATTACATCCTTTATTAGGCTGTAATAATGGTATAAATATAAAAATAACTAAAGACAAACATTGACCAGTGTTTAATCTTATTTGTTCCACACTGTTGTAGTTCAAGTTAACTTTGAAACTTTGTCACCGTCGGCTTCAGACCTCATTATTCTGGGACTGAATTATGTTTAACTCTTTCTATAATTAATCAGCTGTGTTAAATTAATTAATAATAATTCATGAATTAATAATTCATGAATCTGTTTTTGATTGATTATTTTTATTATTATTATTAATAATTATTAGATGGTGTAGTGTGTTTCTTGGTCCTGCTCCTCGTGCTGTTTGTGCAGAAGACTTTGAACCATTGGATAAAAGTTCAAAAAGATCCTGAATGAAATTCTGGCCTCGAGATAAAAGCTGGAGCCGACGGCAACAACTCGGGCGTCACAAACCTGAGGAACCCTTTTATGAAAACATTTCTATTCCTTTTTTATGAAATTAATACATTCACTTTGTTTTGTTCACTCAGTGAAATGATTCAGGACTTTGGAGCGAGTCAAATAATTATTCATGATTAATTGAGGATAATCTTGTTCAACTCAATTCACTTCAATTTGTGTATCGCCCTAAACCACAACAGCAGTCGTCTCAGAGGACGTCACAAAGTTATCGATTCACCAACAACAGATCAAAGAATCAACACAGGAAATAACAAGCACAGAGGAGCAGACACTGTCCAGAAATGATAACACCCTGACCTCGGAGCCCTGACCTCGGACCCCTGACCTCGGACCCCTGACCTCGGACCCCTGACCTCGGACCCCTGACCTTGGACCCCTGACCCCTGACTTCGGACCCCTGACCTCGGACCTCATCACATCTTCCAAGCCTAATGTGGGTCTCTCCACAGTGCCAGGCTCTCCTCCTCTCTCCGTATCCACCTCAGCAGCTCCAGGCCTGGGCTTCAGCTCGGCAGACTTCCCCCTGACCTCAGTCTCAGGACCAGGACCAGCTCTGCCCAGTCTCCCCCCTGGACCCCCTCCTCTGTCTCCTGACTCCCCCCAGAGACGCACCCCCTACGAGTGGATCCGGCGCAACAACCCACCCACCAACCCCAGTGAGTAAACACTATATACATGCTAGCTCAATGATACCCAATAGGAAAGTGCTCATGGTGAAGTTTGGCTCCAACTCGCTCAGTAACCGTTTATGTCACACGCTCTCTGTGATTCTTGGTGTTTATTTTGTGATATTGTCTTTGTAAATCAAGATATGAGCCAAAAGGATTGACCAATCAGCAACTTCCCCATTAAGGCTAACACTGTGATGTCACACTGTGGTGATGTCACACTGTGGTGATGTCACACTGTGGTGATGTCATACTGTGGTGATGTCACACTGTGGTGATGTCACACTGTGGTGATGTCACACTGTGGTGATGTCACACTGTGGTGATGTCACACTGTGGTGATGTCATACTGTGGTGATGTCATACTGTAGTGATGTCACACTGTGGTGATGTCACACTGTGGTGATGTCATACTGTGGTGATGTCATACTGTGGTGATGTCACACTGTGGTGATGTCACACTGTGGTGATGTCACACTGTGGTGATGTCACACTGTGGTGATGTGATGCCACTCTTAAAGATCTTGATCATATAACTTTATTTATTTTAAATGTACAAGTGGAAACTGTGAAACAGAACTGTATATTTGGAATGAAAGGACAGTTGCCATGACAATGCCTCAAACAAATCCTGGTCCAGGTTCAAGTCCAGGTCCAGACCCAGGTCCGGTCCTGATCTAGACTCGGTCTGGTCCTGGTCCAGTCCTTGTCAGGACATGATCTAGTCCTGGTACAGACCTGGTTCAGTCCTGGTTCAGACCTAGTTTCTGTGGCATGTGTGTGTCTCTGTGTTTGCAGATCATTAGAGTGTTTGAGTTCAGCTAATACTGAATCTCAGCGTTAAGCTTTAAACATGTGTTAGTAATGAGACTAAAGTTACAGACCCCAGCTTTAAACATGTGTTAGTAATGAGACTAAAGTTACAGACCCCAGCTTTAATGTGTTATTTATGAGACTAAAGTTACAGACCCCAGCTTTAAACATGTGTTATTTATGAGACTAAAGTTACAGACCCCAGCTTTAAACATGTGTTATTTATGAGACTAAAGTTACAGACCCCAGCTTTAATGCTGTGGTGTGTTGCAGATGGTAAAACCAGGACGAAGGATAAGTACCGTGTGGTTTACACCGATCACCAGAGACTGGAGCTGGAGAAGGAGTTCCACTACAGCAAATACATCACCATCAGGAGGAAGGCGGAGCTCGCATCCCAGCTCAGCCTATCAGAGAGACAGGTGAGTAGAGGGGAGGGGCCTATCAGAGAGACAGGTGAGCAGAGGGGAGGGGCCTATCAGAGAGACAGGTGAGCAGAGGGGAGGGGCCTATCAGAGAGACAGGTGAGCAGAGGGGAGGAGCCTATCAGAGAGACAGGTGAGCAGAGGGGAGGGGCCTATCAGAGAGAGACAGGTGAGCAGGTGGGAGGGGCCTATCAGAGAGACAGGTGAGGGAGGGAGGGGCTTATCAGAGAGACAGGTGAGTAGAGGGGAGGGGCCTATCAGAGAGACAGGTGAGCAGAGGGGAGGGGCCTATCAGAGAGACAGGTGAGCAGAGGGGAGGGGCCTATCAGAGAGACAGGTGAGCAGGTGGGAGGGGCCTATCAGAGAGACAGGTGAGGGGGGGAGGTGCTTATCAGAGAGACAGGTGAGTAGAGGGGAGGGGCCTATCAGAGAGACAGGTGAGCAGAGGGGAGGGGCCTATCAGAGAGACAGGTGAGCAGGTGGGAGGGGCCTATCAGAGAGACAGGTGAGCAGAGGGGAGGGGCCTATCAGAGAGACAGGTGAGGGAGGGAGGGGCTTATCAGAGAGACAGGTGAGCAGGTGGGAGGGGCCTATCAGAGAGACAGGTGAGCAGAGGGGAGGGGCCTATCAGAGAGACAGGTGAGCAGGTGGGAGGGGCCTATCAGAGAGACAGGTGAGCAGAGGGGAGGGGCCTATCAGAGAGACAGGTGAGGGAGGGAGGGGCTTATCAGAGAGACAGGTGAGTAGAGGGGAGGGGCCTATCAGAGAGACAGGTGAGCAGAGGGGAGGGGCCTATCAGAGAGACAGGTGAGCAGAGGGGAGGGGCCTATCAGAGAGACAGGTGAGCAGAGGGGAGGGGCCTATCAGAGAGACAGGTGAGCAGAGGGGAGGGGCCTATCAGAGAGACAGGTGAGCAGAGGAGAGGGGCCTATCAGAGAGACAGGTGAGCAGAGGGGAGGGGCCTATCAGAGAGACAGGTGAGCAGAGGGGAGGGGCCTATCAGAGATACAGACAGGTGTGGGGGGAGGGGCCTATCAGGGAGACAGGTGAGCAGAGGGGAGGGGCCAATCAGAGAGACAGGTGAGCAGAGGGGAGGGGCCTATCAGAGAGACAGGTGCAGGGGGTAGGGCCTATCAGAGAGACAGGTGCAGGGGGAAGGGCCTATCAGAGATACAGACAGGTGTGGGGGGAGGGGCCTATCAGGGAGACAGGTGAGCAGAGGGGAGGGGCCAATCAGAGAGACAGGTGAGCAGAGGGGAGGGGCCAATCAGAGATACAGGTGCGTAGTAGAATAAGTTAGCAGCAGCAGTAGTAGTAGTAGTAGTTATAAGTGAAGTCGTAGCAGTAGTAGTAGTAATAGCATCGGTAGAAATAGCAGTAGTAGTATTAGTCGTAGTACCAGTAGAACTGATAGGTAGCAGCAGTACTAGAAGTAGAAGGGGTAGTAGTAATAGTATCAGGAGAAGTAGTAGTAGTAGCTGTAGTAGTTGCAGCAGTAGTTGCTGTAGTAGCAGCAGTAGTCGTAGCAACAGCAGTAGTTGCTGTAGAAGTAGCAATACTTGTACTAACAGTAGTATTTTTTTTCAGGTGAAGATCTGGTTCCAGAATCGTCGCGCTAAAGAACGTAAAATGAACAAGAAGAAGCAGCAACAACCGGCTTCCTCAACGACCACGCCCCCTGGCAATTCAAGCCACGCCCACAGCAACAGCAACGCCATGGTGACCAGCAGCATCAACATCAAGGAGGAATTCTGATTGGGCAGCGCTCAGACCCGAGAGGCCTCCAGTGGTACTGCAGCTTTAAACCTTGTGGCCTCCGGTGGTACTGCAGCTTTAAACCTAGAGGCCTCCAGTGGTACTGCAGCTTTAAACCTAGAGGCCTCCGGTGGTACTGCAGCTCTAGACCTAGAGGCCTCCGGTGGTACTGCAGCTTTAGACCTAGAGGCCTCCGGTGGTACTGCAGCTCTAGACCTAGAGGCCTCCGGTGGTACTGCAGCTTTAGACCTAGAGGCCTCCCGTGGTACTGCAGCTTTAGACCTAGAGGCCTCCGGTGGTACTGCAGCTTTAGACCTAGAGGCCTCCGGTGGTACTGCAGCTTTAAACCTAGAGGCCTCCGGTGGTACTGCAGATAAACTGAGGGGGCAGATGTCTCAAGTCAGATTCTGAAACATAAAAACTTTTTGATCTAAACTTGTGGCTTCCTCTCCCGTCATTCGCTGGAACTTGGAACTCATGTCTGCGTGGACTGGTGGCCACCGCTGGTACTGCAGATTTCACCATGCACAGCGACCACATCAACAATCCGTGACCACGCCCACATGCTAAGACCACGGCCACCATCACATTTCTGCTTTATTCTGTCTAAAGCCGCGGTCCCTGAGTTTTACAATAATCACATATTTAAACAGTTCTGAAAGCGGTTTATTTCATCATTTGTTTCTCCGACGCCGTGGAAACCGAGTGACTCACAGGGCTCTTTGTACCAGTTTGCTCTGACACCTTTTGAAACGCTGAGACCACATTTTCTACAGACATTTTGGGACCAATCAGAGCTCGCTGCACCGTCATATGACCAGGTGAATGTACCATGTGATTTTGATCATTGTGTAAAATTTTAAAACTAAAGATTTATTTAAACTGAAGCTGAGTCCTTATTTATTTCAAACCATTTTGATTAATTAGCTCCATGTCTCCTCCCCCCATAGCCCCTCCCCCGTGTCCCCTCACCCTTAGCCCCTCCCACATGGGACGGAGCTGAGGTTAGCTGAATGACGTTTCCTTTCACACAGCTCGTTTCGGATCATACATGGACTTTTTGTGTCGCAATCCCAAACAGATTGGGACTTGTTTTTTTCAAAGGCTGGAGTTGGCTGGATGACACAGCAAGCACACAACCCCTCCCCCTCCATGATGCCCCTCCCCCTCAGTCATAAATGTCTTCTATTTGCTTTCTTCCAAACTCAAACTTCCCCTTTCTGCAGCTGCCCTGCAGAGACCTGAGAGACCTGAGAGAGACCTGAGAGAGACCAGAGAGAGACCAGAGAGAGACCAGGGAAAGACCAGAGAGAGACCAGAGAGAGACCAGGGAAAGACCAGAGAGAGACCAGAGAGGAAACCTGAGAGAGACCAGAGAGACCAAAGAGAAACCAGACAGGCAATCTAGAAAGACCAGAGAGACCAGAGAGACTAGAGAGACCAGACAGTGAGACCAGAGAGAGAGCAGAGAGGAAACCCGAGAGAGACCAGCAACAGACCAGAGAGAGAACCCAATAGAGACAAGAGAGAGACCAGAGCAGAAACCTGAGAGAGACTAGAGAGAGACCAGAGCAGAAACCTGGGAGAGACCAGAGAGAGACCAGAGAGAGACCAGAGAGAGACCAAAGAGAGACCTGAGAGAGACCAGAGAGAGACCTGAGAGAGACCAAAGAGAGACCAGATAGAGACCAGAGAGAGACCAGAGAGAGGCCAGAGAGAGACCAGGGAGAGACCAGATAGAGACCAGAGAGAGACCAGAGAGAGACCAGAGAGACCAGAGAGAGACCAGAGAGAGACCAGAGAGAGGCCAGAGAGAGACCAGAGAGAGACCAGAGAGAGACCAGAGAGAGACCAGAGAGAGACCAGAGAGAGACCAGATAGAGACCAGAGAGAGACCAGAGAGAGACCAGAGAGAGACCAGAGAGAGGCCAGAGAGAGACCAGATAGAGACCAGAGAGAGACCAGAGAGACCAGAGAGAGACCAGAGAGAGACCAAAGAGAGACCTGAGAGAGACCAGAGAGAGACCTGAGAGAGACCAAAGAGAGACCAGATAGAGACCAGAGAGAGACCAGAGAGAGGCCAGAGAGAGACCAGGGAGAGACCAGATAGAGACCAGAGAGAGACCAGAGAGAGACCAGAGAGACCAGAGAGAGACCAGAGAGAGACCAGAGAGAGGCCAGAGAGAGACCAGAGAGAGACCAGATAGAGACCAGAGAGAGACCAGAGAGAGACCAGAGAGAGACCAGATAGAGACCAGAGAGAGACCAGAGAGAGACCAGAGAGAGACCAGAGAGAGGCCAGAGAGAGACCAGATAGAGACCAGAGAGAGACCAGAGAGAGACCAGAGAGAAACCAGACAGTGAAAGCATAGAGAC